ATACTTGGATCACAGATATAATAGCCTACACCTAACAAATGCATAAAGGAGTGGGCATGCCCCCTCCCTCCCATAAATCAAAAATCACTGGATCCTGGGACCCCACCAAAGATAATCCGGAACTTACTAGAGAAGAAGAAACAGCCTTAGCACGTTTTCGCACAGGTGCTTCGCATCGCTATGGCTGGTTGCTTTGAAAGATACAAACCCATATTTCCCCTGGTTGTCGATGGTGTAATCCCCAACAAGTCAGTACGTCGACACCCGTTATTCCACCTAGCCAGAAAAGACCGCGCTATGCACTAAACAAAGCAACAGACCCCGCCACCTGCACTGAATGCGGGGCACAATACTCATGCAGGAACACCGCAGTAGTACATATGGTCAACAAACACATGGGTTCAAGAGAGTCGATGCGCTCTGGAAGATCAAATTCCCCCATGAGCCACCTCCGCGGGACATCCCGCCAGAACCTCCGCCACCCCCACAACCCCCAGCTCCGGACACAACGTTACCCCGTCCCACTTCGCCTAAAGCAAAACTCCATCCGTTTGCCCGCAGTATGTGTAAACGAACATTTCCGCTTCAAAATGGATTAGCGCGCCGCCTTAGATACATGTACAATGCCACATGCCCTGTCCCAGAGAGAAAACGCCCGCGAGCCGACGAACCGATTACAGAAGGATCAGCATTCCCTTGTGACAAATGTGATATGATAGCGCGCTCTAAAACAGGCCTTAAAACCCATATTAGAGCACGGCATCCTGAGAACCCCAAAAAGGACGCACCTCGCCCTCAGCTCATCCCACAACCTGCTTCACTACGATGCGAATTCTGCCTCCGCGACTTTGGCAACATTGGAGCTCTCGCATGCCACAAAAAGTTCAAACATCCACTTGGAACTCCAATTCTGCCAGCAACAATACAAGTAACGTTTCCACGCAATAAGAAACGCCAGCGAGATACGTCGCCACCGGAGCGTGAGGACAGAGAGAAAAAGTCCAATGCGGAGTATGCCAGAAGTTCTACGCCCACCTAGACTCCCTCGCCATCCACTGCAGAAAATTCCATGAAGGAGAGGGTCTGCCCAAAAAATCGAATTCCACCAATGGGCAATACAAAACAACGAAAACAAGAGACCTTCCGGCATTAACCTGCCCCTCATGTGGTCACTATTGTATGAGTAAGTCAGGCCTAACTCTACACCGTATGCCACGACACGGGTATCAACCTATTCGCGCACACCAGCCAACGTAACGAATGCGAAGAAAGAGCTCTGCATCTTTTGAGTTGTATCGCTCTTCATCCACTGCGAGTTCAATTTGCGATAGTTGATTATGTACCCCTGATGAAATCATGTTTTTCTAAGCGGTTAGCACAGTTCCTTATTGCGGTGAGTCGGAACTATATTATACCCCATTCTTTGCGCCAAAGAAACCCCTTGCCCCCTTCTTCCTCCCTCGCGCACTAGAACTGGCAATACCCTCGATTATGGAAGCCACGATGGAATTGTACGTAAGAGGCTCTTCTCGCCGACCCAAGAAGCAAGAAAACTAAATAGGAGTTCATTGGGGCCAATCCATCACAAAAAAAAAAACAAATAATAACAATAAGGGGAGTGGATAACGGGCTCTGGGCAAAGAACGTGCGGGCAGAGTTTTCTCGTAGCCTGGTTGTCTTCTGGGGGAATGGGCTTTAACACGAATGCCGAACGAAACTTTAAATAAGGAAAAAAAAAATAACAAAACATACATTACAAGATCTTCGGGGCCACACAAAGCAAAGGGATCTTCCCTTGCAACACCACCCGAAAGTCTGTCACTAAGTTGCTCTGCTTTGTAAGGGCAACGACCGCGCCAGCGCGTGGACAACGAAAAAAAAATTTTTTTATAGCGTTGCAAATGGTGTTTTTGTGGCGGGATGGCGATCGCAAAAGGTTCTCAAAGACGTTTTTCATCGGCCTTGGGGCTTTGCCTGTAACCGCGTCGCCCGGCAGGACTTTTTCCCCCGCTGCTTCTTGGAAAGCCGCGGTTTGTTAGAATTTAGGCTCTAACGCTTCCAAAATGCAAAC